TCAAAAAAGTACTCCAGGGTGTTGTTCAGCATGGGGGTGAGTAGAAAATGAAGGCTAATCATGTTTTGGGTGTACTATTCCTTTAATTCAGACTTGGATCTAAATAGAAAACAGAAAACAATGTCTAGAACAGCTTTGCTGCTTCAATGTTTTCATGAACAAAGTTAAAGGTAAGTTCTATTTCTTTTTTATAATCAAAACTTATTTCCTATAGATCTATTCAAATAAGCAAAAATTGATTAAATAAAAAAATCCACTGTCTTTGCAGCCTCTACTAACCACCACTGCTTTATTATTTTGTTATTAAATGTTAATATATTACAACTAATCAATCAGAACTAAATAGATTTTGGGGATTTGAATTTAAATAGATTTTAGAATTTTCCCATTGTGGGACAATAAAGGGATTTTTTATTCTATTCTATTCGATACCCATCGCTAGCTGAGGCTACAGTGTCTCCATAGTTGATCCTACAGCCTGTCAGCCAGTATCCTCCCTTAGACGGGGCTTTAATCCGGCCTTTGCCTCCAGATCGAGCAGCAGGTTTTTGTTAGCATAGCACTGGCTTTCTTTGTGCAACTCAGGAAAGTGTGACACTGGGCTAATGCTAACCAGTTAATCTCACTGAGTCAGCAGCCGGACCAGGGCAGTCCCAGTTTCAGGTCACTAATCCCAGCACCCCCCCCCCCACCATCCCTCCTCTTTTAGCCACCGAGTTAAATCCTCCACTGCGCTGCTCAGTTCTGCTGCTGTGAGGTGATGTGCAGCAAACCTGGAGCTCATCAGACACATTCCCCACAGGAACACCCCACAGCTACGTCTCGATGCGTTTCAGTGTTTGGACGCCTCGTCTCATCTGCTGCCACGAGTGAAAGGGATGGCAATGACGGATCCTCATTAAATCTGACATGTTTTATTTTACCCCAAACAAGTCTTTGTGCTTCCAGATCTCTGAGACATCAACAGTGTCTGAGCTGGCAAACAGGCGGTGGTTTATTTAAACTGCAGCTATCCTTGAAGTGCTGATAAAAATGCACAGAGGTCATTATAGCAGTGTTATCATGATCCTGCAAGGATTCCTACACTGCCTGGGAGTATACTTTATTTTCCATCTTTAAATGTGTATCTAAAAAGAAAATGGGGATATTAGTATCTGCATTCTCTGTTCTATAACCTGTTGTCTTTCTGTCCTGTCAGTCGCAGCATTTCAGGCATGTGTAATTAAAGGACCTGGTTATCTACATGAGCCAGGGCAGATTTGCTCTACACAGAGGATATCTAAAAGCAGGATCCTCATTGCATAATTGACTTTATTAAATCAAGACTGGATCCAGCATCAATTTTGGCTGGACACACTGATGCAATAGTAACCTGCGTTGGTGTGACCTTCAGCCATTCCGAGTATTTAGTGAATAGAACAGAAAAAGTCATTTATCTTCCAGCAGTGGAGAAACTCTGGGTGTGTCGGTTAACATGTAGAAATGTGTTTGTGTTGAATTTGTTTACGCGTTGTCGCCTGGAGATGAACAGCCTTTTTAATCTGGTAGGGAGGAAATATTATACATTAAAAGAACATCAGTTCAATTCAGTTTATTTATATAGCACCAAATCACAACACGTCATCTCAAGGCACTTTACAGTTCACCAGATCATCCAGTCAGATTGATTCAAAGTTTTCTCTTTAAGGAAAACCAGTTGACTGCATCGACTCAATGACTCTTCAGCAATCCCTCATACTAAGCATGCTTGTAGTGACAGTGGAGAGGAAAAACTCCCTTTTAACGGTTCACAAAATCCACAGTTCGGTTCACGGTTTCGTGGTCACGGTTTTCGGTTCGGTATATGTTGATTGCTAGGAAAATCTCTAAGCTGAAATGTTGGTCATGTTGCTGTTAGCATAAACACAATGTGTTGCGCAATGCTTGCACACTGTAGCACTTTTATCCACAACTTTCTTTCCGCCGTCATCGTAGGTCACTCTAAATGCAAGTGGTCCCATACAGCAGACCTATAAAGTGCTGCTGGCGCGTCTTCCAACTCCTGATCTTTCCCACTCGCCATACCCACACAATTCTCCACAACAATTGATTTTTTTCTGCTACATCCGGCTAAGCTGCTTCGCTTCTTCTTCTTGTTTACTACTGGTGGTTGGCTTTGGTCGCAGTACCGCCACCTTCTGCTCTGGAGTCTACACGCTTCGCCTATGAGAAAAAGGAGCAGCGCATGAACCGAACGAAACACACGCGAATCGAACCGAGACAGTCGAACCAAACGGTTCTGAAAGGTTTTCTTTTCTGCTCCAGGAGACAGAACAGAGAGCAGAGGTACAAAGTTAACAGAAACATAATTAGGGTTCTCTAGGTTTTTATTTATTATTTTGTCAGGTCATGGTTTGTCTTCCTCTAATAAGAACCAATCTTGTGTAGTTTTCCCTTTTTCCATAATTAAGCCAAAATCCTTGTCTACAGAACCACCAAATGCTGCCTGCATTCCTCCCCTAAACAATTTTGTGTGAATTTCTGCTTATATCCTCCACGTTTAAAGAAATAAGTGAAAGTCAGATGTCTGTCTGAAGCAGTTTTGCAACTCTTTCAGATCGTCCACATAATTAACCACAACAGTAATATCTGCTGCTTTCTAGGCTGCTTGGTTTTTAATGCTTGTATAAGCCTGCATGAAGGCCCTAATGGTTAAAAATCTGCTGAAGCTTGGTTGGTTTATCATCTCCTGGAACTAGTTTGATGGGCTGGTTCACCTGAAAGTTTCCTGGATGAATGAAATGAACATCAGGATTGCTGGATGGTTTGGGTTGGATGGGAGGCTTTGTGGCTTCGGAGGCTAAAGGCTTTATACTTCGAAACCAGGTCATCTGCGCACGTGTCAGAGTGAACGCAGAGACGCCCCCGCCACTTCTGCAGACACTCTGGTGTACCTCTCCCAAATTGGAGTTGACCGCAGACAGGAGGCCTCTGATTAGTGAAACCTATATCCGCTCTACTTATGCGAATTTTCTGTTTGGTACCTTACCGGCTTGTTTTGTTTGTATGACCGCCATTGTGGAAAATGACTTGTGAAGTTTGACCAGCTAGAAGGGCGAGGTGCGCGAGAACGCTGGGACCCTTTTTCCACCTGGATCCCCGCCCTTTTTTTCCCCTCATGTTCCTCTGTTGTCGCACAAACTGGCCCCCACTTCCTCACCGCCTCGGCAGTATCTAGACCCACAGTTAGTTCCTGATGGTTCCTCTTGCATTGTGGCGTGAAATAACATAGCACAGACCACGCTTCAATATTGAGCATAAATCAGAAATGTCTGCATCATACTTGCGACAAGCTCACTGTGACACACTGCTGCAGGAGAATAACCAGGCCTTAAGACATTCATAATCCTTGTTGTTCAGCCTTTTTTTTCCTCCATTTTAAAGTGTTCCTAAGTGGTCTGTCTGTGGAACTGTTGAAGGCTATGAAATTTGATCTTCTTTTGTCCAAGTTTAGATAAGATCCATTTCCTAATGACTCAGGAAATGGATCATTATATCTACTGCAATGTGTAACAATGAAAGCTTTTTTTCACTTTTTTTTATATTTTTTTTAGTCTTTATCCAATAGATTGAAAAGCATCAGAGAAGCCAAACTGACCCTCTGCTGCTTCGAGCTTCTGTTTGATTGTTGTTTCACCACAAGGTTCTAAGGTTTGACACGTTTGAAGCTCTGAAAGCATCTAAGTGCTATCAGTGTTTTACAGACGGGTACCTACAGGTTAATCTGAGACGTCAAGCGTCTGTGTGGTTAATTTAGAGCAGTGAAGGAGGCAAAGGGCTGTTGTGTTGAAACAAAGCTGTACACCTTTCAGACAAGTGTTAAAATAACTTAATGACTCACAGCTGCAGTATTGTTCTGCATGTTAAACAACAACTTAACACAGCTGCACCATTTAATATCTGTGTTTTCCAATAACTGAGCGACAGTAGAACATGGATGAAAATAGGATTCCTTGCTGCATACAGGGATGTAAACCGACATGTACTCAACCTCTTCTTCATTTCTCCTCCTCAGGCACTGGATAACCACCCACTTCGTCATCTGGTACGGCGTCCCCTACATGACGTACGACATCTTCGCCATGTACCTCAGCCACTACTACCGCTACCACGTCAAAGGCCACGAGGACTACAAGCAGCATTCGCTGAGGACCATAAACTCCTTTGTCCGGAGAGAGTTCCTGCTGGTCCTGCACCACATAGCGCTGCTCACCATCCTGCTGCCTATCACACTGGTGAGGAGGGGGAGGGGGTCTTTGGGACAGCATCGATGAAGCATTCAGACTGATGCTACAGTCACACCGCAAGCAGCATAGGCAGCAGAAGCTGCTAGTTTACATGGAAAGTCAATGGTTGACGTGCATCAAGGCGCAGCAAAGGGTTCCTCAGGAGCGAGCAGCGCTTCTGAGCAGCTGAAGCAGCGCGTCATGAGCTTCTGGTCATCTGACGTACGCAATCCCATTTAGAAGCAGCAGCTGCTGGAGTTGGAAGAATTGAACTTTTGCTGCTCGACGGGCCAGATCAACCAATCAGAGAAACTGATCTCGGAGCTGGCAGGGAGACAGACAAAGCCCTGCTGATGCAGAGCTGTATGACCACTGCTCTGAAACAGTTTATTAACCCCTAAATTAACTTAAAACGTCGAAACCTGCCTGCAAAATATGTTCGATTTTATTATTCTGGTTTCTGCAGACGGATTACGTACGGGAAAAACGCTAACATCTACTTCCAGCTGCTGCTAACAGTAGCTGAAAACCACGAAGAGGCGACCAGGCCAGAGGCTGCTGTTGAACGGGATCGCCGGTGACAGAGCACCGCCGATTTACGGCGGTCTGAGCGGCTACTTTTCGACCGCTCAGCTAGACAGCAAAGATGCTTCAGCCGCGCGTCAGAACTAAACTTGAACAGACATAAAAAATTAACCACGTAGCGTATCGGTTAGCAAGCTGGAGGGCTGGTGATAAATCTACAGGCTGATGTATAAAGTGTAAATAAATAGTGTTTTATAGTAGACATCAAAAGCTGCACTGTGAAGCACACAGACTCTTTAAATGATCAGAGGGAAGGTTGGAGGAGGTGAATAGCAGCCTAAAATATTTAGAAAAACAAAGAAAGGCATTCATCTGTAAACCTTTTCATTATTATCCATTTTATTGGTAAATGAGTCAACAGACGTGCAGATGGACAAGGTCGCTTTTAAAAATAGATCTTTATTTCTCTGAGATTCTGTTTTTTAACACTCGTAACTTACAACGGTTCCAAAGTTCAACCGGCTCCGCAGCCACGAGCTGAGCACTCCACATGGTGGGATAAAAAGGACCAGCTGCAAGTTCTCTTCACCACGAGGCCCTTTTCATGACCGAGGTAGACCTGCATGACCATTTTCTCCAAATTAGGCAAAAGATTCAATTTCTTATTCTTCCCTGGAGTCTGTGATGGGGTTTAGGGTAAACATGTGGCGGCGTTTTTTGATCTGTCTTTAAAAGCGCTTGCTTTTTCTGATTAATCAGCGCAGGCAGAGAATCTGATACCAGTCGCTCTCTCATGGCTAATTGAACCTATTGAGGAAACTTGTTAATTTTACATGCAGGCAGTCGTAAGGGCATTTATGAGGAATAAAAAAAAAAATTTTTAAACCTATGGAAAAGACAACGCACCTTTATCATTAGCGCCATGAAAGCTAACGCCAAAACGAACCCATGAAAAGTTCTGTTTGTAGTTTGCAAAAACAATCTAGCAGCAACGCAAACGTGTAAGAAGCTGCGCTGGTCAAATGACACCATTATGAAAAATGTTGCTTCTTATGGGGTTAAAAAAATAACTAAGGAGCATCTCATACTGGGTTCCCGCGGGTCCTTAAAAAGTCTTAAAAGGCATTGAATTCTTCAAAATAAAACTAAGGCCTTAATTGGTATTAAAATGTCTTAAATTAGTCTTTCGTAGGTCTTAATTTTTTAAAACATTATAAATAGGATTATGTTTATTACGATTTATTTTTGTAATTTAAATAAAACATTAAAGTTGACTTTTTTTTTTAATAAAAAAAAATAAATAATGGCTCGCCATTATTGGTTCTGTCCCGATAGCGGACAGCGTTGTTGCGGCCGGGACATTTGGGAGATGCACCATTAACTTTTTGTCTGCAAAATATAAGAAAGTGTAAATGTAACGAAAATTGTCTCCAGCCAAGAGTTTTCTCCATGGCTAAAACCAGGGAACATACATGAGGCTCAGTGGATTTTGAGAAAAAAGTCATTCAAGCTCGGAACGATGGGAATTAAGGCAATGGAGTCGCAAATGCGAAGCAAGAAACACAAAGCGTCAAAATCGAGTTACCGAGAAACTGCCGGTATTTCTCGGTTTTGTTCCACCCTTGTCTCTGCAAAACAAAGTTTGTGAATTCAGTTAAATAATTGTTAAAATATATCTGTCATTCGTGTGTTTTTAGCTTTCTTCCTGCTTTTC